GGGGGGGTGGCGTAGCGGGGAGAGCTTGCTGTATATTTTAAAACAGTAAATATTGGCGTTGCTCTCTGTTGCTCAGTCGAATTGATGTTATTCACCATGAGTACTGGCCTCATATCAGGTCTCACAACCATATATTTTCCCAAGAGGAAAATGTGATTTCCTATGTGACTGCGTTCTCTAGTGCCTCCTCTTAGGCATTGACAGGTGACAGAACGCTCGGGGTGCATCCATCTTTCGTATTTTTTCTTGATGTGTATCATCGTAAATAGCTTAGAGAAAGCGGCGTAAACTAAGCCGCCGACATAATTAAATTAGTCTTAATCTACAGGGCAAAGTAGCATTATCTTCGCGAAGTGATTTAACTGTCATTTTGTTTGTTCGAAGTTCTATTCCATTCCAGCTTCAAGAACAGCGGTAACCATCTAACCGGAGCTCGAAATGGGTTGTCGTAAGGAGGGGCTGTTTTTGAGATAGTTGACATCCGACATTTGTCGGTTTTATCTTAGTGAAAGGCCTTGTAAGTAACAGTGTGCTACAGTTAGAAAAGCATCCGTCCCACTCGGAAGTGCTTCTGATTGAATGACTCCCAACATATGCTGCCTTAAGACGTTGTGGCCGATATTCCATCGTTGTATAATGGAATCGGCAACTAGTGATGACACAAAATGGAATTCTTCTCGGTCTGCCACAGTCTTTGGGCGCGAACAAGTAGGTATGACTAGCTCTATGCTATATTCTCCCGCGATAATTCAACAGCAGCATGTCCAAATCAATGGCTAGGAAAATTGCTAACTGGCCTGTAACGTGAACTTGAAGGTTAGAAGCCAGGCTGCAGTCAGAAAAAGGAACGGAGAAGCAAGGAGTTTGTCAAACTCGAATTTGAAAAACTTTTGTGGCATATGAAAGAGTTAAAATTCGGTTAATTATCGTATGTAATAAAATTGCCACAATTTGATGACTAGTACTCGCGGCGTTCGGCTTTGTAGCATGGAATGAAGTCCATGTTACACATGCAAAAAATCTCCGTTCCCTTGTTTTTCTTTAGGAAAAGGGGGAACTGCGTATACTCGTACGCATTTGTTGTAGAGAAAAAACGACGAAAATAGGATTTAATCACAGCACTAAAGAGACGGCATTCTAGTATCTCTGTTATATCTTAGACTTGTGCTGCAGTAAGGGAGATACCATATGGGGTCCCACAATATCATAATCGTCTAAAAGTGATGTTACTTAAGCAGCAGATTTGTAAGGAATGGCGTTTGCAGGTGACCGACAGTAAGCGAACTCTTGTGGTTGTAGTGCATGCTAGTCCCTATTACAATCTCACATAATCGGAAACTTCAGAATTTCGATTAAAATTTATGGAGATAGGTTACCTACAACTTTTCTCGACCGCTTCGAGAGACCGCAGCTCGTTGTGCCAAATTATGCTTCCCTTTACTCAGTTCTTCATCGTTCCAAATCTAGTTTTTTGGGCACACCTGCACCGGAAACCACTCAGGGCCTTCCTATACCGCCTATCACCCAATCGCACGCTGCTGTTTCTAGGGGCAATAGTGCAACTTGCGTCAGCCAGCAGGTCTCCGAGCGCAGATCAGGGACCTCCTCAGAGGAGTGCTTGGCTGAGTTCGACGACAAACTGCCCTGGAAGGAGGATGCGGAACCGCAAGGTATGAGGAGAGATGATACTACCTTTTTTCTTTTTTTCCATTTGTTTCCAGTGGCCCCAGTGTTATAACGACGTGTTCTGCCTCGCCAGTGTTGTAATGGTGGCACCTGACGTGTGTCACCGTCAAATTACGCCCTTTGGAATCCCCAAGGAAGAACACTGCGAAGGGCATAATTCTGGAATCCACCCGGGGGAGGGTTTATTGTGTACAAAACGCGGTGTTACTGTCTTGGGTGGTAGTTGCCACTGGTTGATCTCCAGCGCGATGTTTGTCCCGCCTCGGTCTGACCCCGGCCATCAGGACCGGACTGGCAGTGTCCTCACAGTCCGCTGTGCAGTTCCCCCTGTCTGAGCTGTGACAGTAGCTTATAAGGGAATGAGGTCA